CATAAACCGTGACTGAGAAGCCAGGTACCCATCACAGACCGTGACAGAGAATTCAGGTATCCATTACAGGCCGTGACAGAGAATCCAGGTACCCATCCCAGACCGTGACAGAGAACCCCGGTACCCATGACAGACTGTGACAGAGAAACTGTAGTTATAAAGCATCAGATTAACGGTTAGCTACAAATGTATCGCAACGTAATGGAAGAAAAGGATCTCCATTTAATTAGTAATAATAGAGCCATCGTGTTTCACATTTTTAATCCCGCAAGGGATTGCGCTAACAGCTTTTTTAAATAGCCTGTGAAATACTCTACAAAAATCATCATTTCCAAAGTCTAGTCATCTTCTATGTTTGGCACTAGATGGCAATGAAGGTAAAGCAAAGGGCGTGGGTGTGGGGTAAGCATATATGTGTATGACTGTAGGTATGAATGTGCATCAAGATATGACAGACTTTCACATCCAAAAGGCAGAAAATGATACAGACGTAGCAATAACTAACCAGAAGGACACAACAGTAAAGTATGGCGTCGAACTCTTCCAAAAATATGTTCAATTTTTACAGAAAAAACCTGATTTAGGGACTGAGCATGAACGCCTGTTTTAGCAAAACGAGGCTGCAAAGAGCCAGTCTTTGAACTAAAAATAGCAAAACATATGAATCCTGTTCCTCGAAAGGATTTCTTGCTTCAGGCATAATAAATGAAACTCAACTAAAACTAGACAGGAGAGAAAAGACCCTTCTCAAACGTGTCCCTAAATATATTCCAGACAATCCTCATTTCACGCACATAAGAATCACACACGAGATAGAGAAAGTCGAAAAGTAAATAAAAAACATCTTCAATGAACATATATGGATATTACCGACATAACGATTGACTATGCTTCATGATTCACTCGTAAATATCATAAACAAATGTCACGAGAAATATTCTTCATTTACGGAACTAAAACAAATAAAGATGTTAAAGAAAAAACTTGAGGCTTCTAATGTAGTCATTAGAAAGATAGAGAAATCGAAAGTCTTTCACCTAGGTACAGCAAATGGCTACGATAGAAAAGTCCAGGCATACATGGATGAAACGAAAGCTTATGAGGACTTAAGCAAAATAAACCCACTCGGTGATCTAGTAAAAAGAACTAATATTATTCTCAAAGCACTACGAGTTAATAAACCTATCTCACAAAGACAATACGAGAAACTAATTGTACAAGAAGATCAAGCTGAACTAGCACATCTGCATTTCTTATCTAACGCCCACAAACCGAATACTCCATTACGTCCTCTATGTCAGGAATGAAATCATCTACAATAGGCATATTGAAATGGCTTGATAAACCTTTAAAGTCAATCTTTGATAATTTAGCTAAACAAACAACTTAACATAATGGAGTACAACCAATAAAAGAAGTCGAAAAATGGTCGGCTAAACACCTATGTATAGCCATATCGTTCGTCAATATGGATGTCTCCGATTTATATACACTGCTAGTACAAGAAAAAGACATTAAAGCAATAAAGAGACTCGTGAAAGAAACAAGTTTAAAACAAATCGATGGAGTGAAAAAAGGAATCATCACAGTACTTGCAAGATTTGTTATGGCAGACAACTACTTCCACTTTAATGAAACATATAATAAACAAATCAGAGGAGGTACAATGGGTTCACCACTCACAGTAACAATAGCAAACGCTTGTTTTTCGTAGAAAAATCCATAGTTAAATGGGTCAAACCATTGTATGGTTTAGTAAGAATTGGAATAGACTTCATGTAAACATCGAATTTTCAGAATCTATTGAAAGGTTTGTTGAATATCTTCATATAAAATTTGAAAATAGAAATGCTAGACTGGTAACTAAAGTATTTTACAAACCGTCATACGAACCATACTTTCTTCCATTTAATAGTATTCATGCAAGACATGTTAAAAGAAATGTACTTTTCAGGAGTCTCATTCGAGCAATACGATATTCATCAAGTTTTGCAGCTTGCAAACAAGAAGAAACATATATTTACATGTCGTTATTGCTAAACAACTATCCGATCAATTTTATTATGACGCAATTCGATAGAGTCTACAAGACATTTCAATGTGATGCGCCTTCAGAAAAGAAGTATACGGATATCATATATATGAGTTGATATAAAACTAAAACAGATGATGCATAGTTGGCTAAACTGAGTTTTAAAGTGAACATTTTCTGTCATTTTTCCTATTATAGACGAATGAGCAATTTTTCAGCTCGATTCCATAGGATATGGAGAGAATGTTTCTTAGATGCTGTCATTTGCAATATGAAATCTATTGTAGGAAATATAAATCTAGGGAATCCACATGATTACCTAGTAAACGAAAAGCCTGCTAGATCTCTTCTAAAATCAAAACTTTAAAGTAGACAATAAAGTCTTCGAAAAAATTATGCTTAATTCTTCTTCAACCACAAGGAAGAAATCTAGCAAGGAGCCCACCGACACATACCGACAACATCGACAAATCTCCAACAATCAAAACATACGTTCTACAACTGGTTGAACTACAAAGTTCTACAACGACGATTTAAATCAACAGAAGCATTGAACAATCCTTCTTCTTCTGAAGCCCTTCAGACCTGAAAAGATCTTTTATTTCGAGACGAGCGTTCTAAAAAAGAAGAAAAAAGTTTTTTTCTAAAAACGCAAAAAAGCAACAACTACTCTTTGTTTTTCAATTTGAAAAAAAGTCTTGGGTTTCTAAAAAGAAATAAAGGTCGTTTATCATACTATTATGTATATTTGAAAGTCTTTTTGTTTTCGAATACACGATAAATATTTGTAATAAGAGTTTATAGGAAAATTTTCTACTCATGATTTTCGTTAAATAATTTTATATGTTGATAAAAATATTCAACAAGCGATAACTACTCGTTTGATGTTGAGCTTTAGAAATGAAATGTCGATGAGTTTAGAAAAAGCTGTTCATTTTCGACAGGGTGATTTTAACTCTGTGAATGTCGTGAGTCTGTCAGTGAAAAAATTTCTTTCCAATTTCAAATTTAAGACATTAATTCTGTAGTATTAATATTTACATCAAAACTGTTTTGAAATCTTGAGAACCAGATTAGTTAAAGAAGGAGTTCAGTTATTTATAACTAATAATATACCCACAAAAATACACAGCAAAAAAGTTTGATTTACCTACCAAATATGTCTTACTATATTTATAAAAACAATTTCTTTTCGATTTCATACGTACAGCTCTTTTAATATGAGAATCACTAATAAACAGTTTCACATATACCTTTGCTTGTACAATTAATAGAACACCTTCTTTATTAATTAATATTTGCATCATTTAGCTTCTTCTTATTGAATGTATCAAACGATATTTTATTTCCTTATGATCTGTTTCTGTTTAAATTCATTGAAGATCACAGTTGTTTTTATTTTGATTTATTTTCTCCTATAATCAATGCTCTAGTGATCGTTGACATGAAGTCACGATATATGCCTTTCAAATTAATCTTGACGTTTAAGTTTGACAATGTTGAAATTGATGTATTGGTGATCTTCTGTAGGCTCAATAGGTTTACTACTCGATTGATCTTAATAATGTTATGATTCCTAAGGTACCAGTAATAAAAAAATTGGGCAAAATGTATCTTACAAGTTGTACTACAAGAACTATGTTAAGAAACTTTAACAAACACGTAGGAAAAATGACTTTCTCCATCTTGAAACACTATAATCACCTGTATAACAAATTTAGCTTTATCAATTGTTACGCTTGATGAAACAATCTTGAAAAGACGTTCATTAGATGTAATATGAAAAAATTGCATCTGATGATATACTTTTAAGATTGTTCATGTAAGATATCACCAGAAAGTTGTTGAACCAACAAGAAGCCTCCTTAAAAAAGCAGTGCTCTCTAAATTAGAAAAACCTAGTAACCCAATATGGTCTGAAGTTTTCTTCTGAGCCGAACTCTATTGAGGAGGTTTGGGTACATCAAGAACAGTTCGTACGAAAACACAATGATAAAACATTCAAAAAGAAGTTACATTCTGTTACCCTCAATAGATGGTGCTCAGTTTCGCTAAATACACACTCGCTCATTATTTGTTTTTTATCCTCTTTGGTCTTTTTCTATCTCTTCATCTTGGCCGATCCGGCATGATCTCTTGTTTCTGTCATTGTTGTTTAGTTGATTTTCTTTTTCATTTTCACCATCATCATCACCATCATCTTTATATTTACCGTTGCTATTATTATTACTTTTTCTATTATTATTATTATATTCATTATCATTATATTGTTATTTGCTTTATTTGTTTATTCAATAAAACATATTTCTCTGCTACAACTGATAAACATAATTTTCACATCACAAAACAAAATTTGGGTAGGCAGCTTTGATGGTGAACTCTCATCTTTCAGAACAGAAAGTATTTCCGACTTGTTATTATTGAGCCTACGTAAGAAGTTTACAGAGTATAAGCACTGGGCAACACCCATTCAATAGTCTCACATGTTTCATAATTGAATCAATGGAAAATTTGATTGCAAAGAAAATATTTCTAAAATGATTTAAGAGTTTCTGGAGAGC